CCCCCCCCCCCCCAAAAAAAAACCTAAACCCTAAACCTCTAAAAGGAGAATTCCTTTTGATCAACGTAAGGGTCAAAATCTGGAGGGAGAACAAAAATCTGGAGGGAGAACAAAAATCTGGAGGCCATATGATCTTATATTAATAGCTTTGCATCGTCTCCCGGACGGAAATGCCTCACAGCGCCAGGCAAAGACAAACAAAAAAGGTAAAAAAAAAAAAACACCCATGCCAGTTTTGGTTTTTATCGGCACTACAGCAGCGATCAGCATTGGCAAAAAGAGATAGGCCCGTACTGACCCACTACTTCATTTCCCAGATAGATATTAGATACCTTATTCCGACGGCGGGGTCGGCTGACCACACAATTTCACAGTTCGGCGACGGAAGCAGTCGCACCGGACCCAAACGGCACTTCTGGCCTCTATCTTCATTTTTGCAGTCGAGGGGTGCTGGTAGTTTTCATAACCGCGCGTACGTCGCATAGCACAGCAGAGCCCTGCGGGTTGTGTGGAGGGATTTCCTGAACAGACCAAAATTTTGTCGCGGCTGCTTGCATGGACACGGCATGTGGAATATGCGAGCAGGTAGCCATCATCTTCCTCCTTGGGATGTTTTCCCACCTTTCCGAGTGCCGCCTGCAAATCGGATTGCACCTGGTCATGGGCCTTGAGTTGATGCATTCCAAGGCTCTACTTGGAAACAACAAGGGTATTCTGCAAGGATCACAAGCATTCCATCTTCTCGGAGAAAAAAAAAAAGAGAGAAAAAATTGGGCAACAGGCTAACAGCCTTGAGGTATCGTTGTCAAACTGACTGGCCTCGGACAATTTGGAGTTGTACTTTCTTTTATTTTATTTTTTTATTTTTTTTAACAGGGCCTCCATTCTATTTGTGGGGAGCAGCACATGCTGGGAACCGGGCCCAGCGTCCCTTTTTTTTTACACCAAATTAAGGTTTGAGGCCGGGGAGTTAACTTTTTTTAATCATAAGTTTCCTTTGATCAAGATCCGAACTCAGATCTGTTTGTGAACAGTCGTCATTCATGGGTGTACCATTCCATTCTGCCACATGGGCTTGATAAGCTTGCACCTTTAGGATGGACATGGGAGGAAAAAAGGGACAAAATCAACATCAATGATCAAAATCAAAATCAAGTGTGGGGTGCTGGCCACTTGGAACAAGTCCTTCGCTTGCCTTTGCATGACAAGATCACAGACTCAGAAGACGGTTTCCCCCGCTGCAAGCTGAAAGGGCAACGCATGCCACCACTCAAGTCCCGATAAAATGCCGGATCAGGCATCGTCACATATCATATTTTCAGCTCATTCTAGCCACGAAGGTGAGGATGCCTCCATAGGCTTGTGTGGGTCCGTCCTAAACAGCGACCGCCGTTTATATTGCTTGGGACTCCGAGAAGATTGTTCCTCAGAAAGAGGGGACGGCAAATTAAAAAAGAAAAAAAAGGAAAAAAACCTCGCTATGGCAACAGACAACCTTGGGCTGAACGGGCAGAAAGGGAAAAATAAATAAAATGGAGGGCACTGGGCAGTGTATTGGCTCACAAGCTGACTTTTTTTTTTGTGTTTGTTTTCTTTTAACGAGCTGACAGATTAAAACTGTTCGACGAGTCGTTCACCCTATAACAGTTCCTCTTCAATAAATAAACACATGGCCGTGCTCAAGTGAACGTGACACTGTACGTATGCACTTACACATCTGTTGTTGTGAGTGATGAACAAGAGCGTGAACGGATAGCGAGGGAGGTCAAAAGACTGTGTGGAACGTGTATGGCCCAGATTTCCCCATCTGGCAGCCTCTCGCTCTCTGTGTCTGCCTCCTCCCACACTCGCTGTAGCAGCGTGCACTGTTGCCACGTCCCTGTAGCAACATGCCCTGTAGCCGCACACTGCAGTGCGTGCACCCTAGCAGCGTGAGGCAAAACGAGCCCGCGAGCTGGGGCAGACCGCTCTTTTACATAGCGTTTACTCGCGGCCTGGCCTGCCTCCAATTTGCGCGTGCACCATAGCGGCATGAGGCAAAACGAGCCCGCGAGCTGGGGCAGACCGCTCTTTTACATAGTGTTTACTCGCCGCCTGGCCTGCCTCCAGTTTGCCTCCTTCAAGGGTCGAGATTTTCCGACTCGTGTGGCGGCACAGATTTGCTCACTGCCAGTTGTGTGCCTGGACCCAATGGGGCCTTGGAAACTGCAGCGTCAGCCGTAGGATTATCTGCGATCTGCGGCCGTTGTCAACCCCTGGGAAAACCTTTCGACTCTTTGATATCTGTGCCTTGGTAAGACTGAGCTATTGACATTCCAAGAAGGAGCCTACTTTTGACTCTGGAGGCATTAGGTGCCTTGTTTTTTACCCTTGACCCAGTACCTACCTATTCACCAAGGGGAATTCTGATGCCTCTTCAGAGTCAGGGAAGCTATCTTTTAAACCGACCCAAGAACTTCGACCTGGGGCAAGGTCCCACTTGCGCAAATTAGGAGATTTCGGCTGTTGATCTTTGCTTTGCTATCTACCTACGGTCAGTATCTCTTAATTCGTGCAAGTGGGACCTAGCCCCTGACGAAAGGTTAGGACCCCTGGCCAAATCTGCATGGACTTTCATACCAGTTCTAGACACTGATCAGCAGAGTCTGTACTAGGACCACCTGTTGACCCCCCTGAACTTAAATAGGGGTCCGATAGGACCACCTGTTGACCCCCCTGAACTTAAATAGGGGTCCGATAGGACCACCTGTTGACCCCCCTGAACTTAAATAAGGGTCCGATAGGACCACCTGTTGACTCCCCTGAACTTAAATAGGGGTCCGATAGGGCCAGCTGTTGACCCCCCTGAACTTAAATAGGGGTCCGATAGGACCACCTGTTGACCCCCCTGAACTTAAATAGGGGTCCGATAGGACCACCTGTTGACCCCCCTGACCCCTCTGAACTTAAATAGGGGTCCGATAGGACCAACTGTTGACCCCCCTGAACTTAAATAGGGGTCCGATACCTTGACTCGACTCTATAGGGGTCAGCATACCAAAAGGTCTTTGACTGAGACAATTGCTCCTACCGACTGGTTCTAGACACTTTGCACCTCGCTGGTAGTCCTCTACCCCATCCCTCGACTCCGTGGGCGTCTGCATACCAAAGGTCTTTGACGGATACAAGGACTATCGGACCATATTCTCTGTAGGATGGAGGGCCATTCTACCCAACTCTAGGTGACCCTACAGACACCTATTTATTTCTCATGCCTAACCTTGAGTCAGACTTCGGCTGCAAGTTTCTGTGCTGGACAGAGCCCGCGTAAGTGCATGCTGGCTTCCTTTCCGTTATATATAAACTTGTGCATGGTAACCGACAAGATCTACGCGACCCATTTACGTGACCAAATTTAGGCAAGATCTACGTGACCAAATTTGCCGACTCTGGCGAGCCACGCGCACGCGAATGCTTTTTCAACAGACAAGCATCTACAAATGGACCTTTGCATAACCACCATTTCGTCCTAAGGCTTTCCTTCTCTCTTCTTCCTCTGTGTTCTGAGGGTGGGGGACAGAATTGTCTATACCTGTGTTTCAAATATACTAGATCTGCCTGCCTGCCGTCTTTAGTCAAACAGAACCGTTACATCTGCAGTGGTTATTATAGCTGTATTTGGGGCAATGTTCAGTCTAGATACAGCGATCACTGGCAGGCATTCTATTCAGGAGAAAAGGACAGAGTAGCACAACCAGAATCCACAAAAGTCACCAAACGAGAGAGAGATCCACGGATCAGGACCTGACCAAGCGCACCATCGTTGTGGAAAAAGCTTCTCGATACCTGTCTCCGACCACAAACCATTTCATCCTTTCTTCTGTCTCCTCTATTTTCGTTTTTTTTAATGAAAAAAAAAAATTGGACCATTTCTCAATTTAGTAATTTAGGGCGTTTTCTGCACGCCATCCTTGTGCAAGACGGGGCCGCGCTTACCTTCCTTCTCTGAATCGTTCCAATTTTAAACCACCAGTACCACACCCGGGGCGTGGAGGCGCCTTTCTGCGAGCCAAGCTCAGCCGAACTGTCAGCAGCGTACTTTTTTTTTTTTTTTTTTTTTTTTTTTTTCGCTGGCACCGCCAGCCATTGTGGCCCCGTAGACCGAGCCTGCAAATTTTTTGTGGGCGACGAGTTGCATTTTCAGCAAGGCTGCGGCCGTGTACTGGCGGTTTGACGGATTTCTTGGTCATTATAGCTGTATTTGGCACAACTTTCAGCCCAGATACGGCAATAATTACCGGGTGTTCTTTTCGGTGAAGACGGTAGATTCCATTCTGTGTGGAAAATACGAAATCAAGCCCTGGAAGGACGCATGTGGGTGACAGCCCATCCACGTGGTCGACAAGTTGTGGATAATGCACCTACACATCAGCAAGTCCAGATGCATTCTGATATACCTACCCAATTTGACCATTTTCAAAGCCTACCTACCGCCTTCACCCAAATAGAACTCTCACTCTGCGTAGCACGGCGAACGTGTTCACGCCCCTTCACGTTCTCGTGAATGTGTTCGCACGTTCGCGCGAACAGCTCGCGAACATGTTCGGGCGAACGTAATTTTTTTTCGTAAAAAAAAAAGAAAAAAAAAAAAAAACACGGTTTTTTATTTTTAACTCATGATTGGCTACGAATTTGAACATGACTCCAAGGCAAAAGTTGCTTGTATTAATATTTTACATAACATGTTTTTTTTTTTCAGATTTTTCTGATTTTGTTTTTTTTCTTTAATATTTTTTATGTTCGTGTTCGGAGGGTTTTGGGCGCTTGTTCGCGTTCGGGCGAACATGCTCGCGTTCGCCTTCGAACGCGAACACGGTGCTACGCAGCTCAGCTCTCAGTCATTATAGCTGTATTTGGGCAACCTTGCAGTCCAGATGCAGCTATAATGACCAGGCGTGTTCTATTCGGGCGCGCAGACGAACCTATCCACACACTTGAACCACCACCCCTCCCAAACCTTAAGTCCGTGCACCCATTTACTCCCACCCTATCGCCCTCCCGCCCTCCCTCCTCCCTTATCCAAGTGCATTTTCTTCATCCTAAACTGACATGAGCATAACTGCAGAACCCACCCCAGCATGTACTTCCCTTGGAGCCTGCATTCACCTCTAAGGTGGAAGAGGCAAAGTAGAATTAGCATATACCTTTGCCAGGGGCCTCACACTTTTCAAATAATGAGCAATGCAGATTGACTTTGGTCTCAACTTTTTTTGGCTCTGTTCATCAATTGAAGAAGAAGATGCTGCAGGGCCGCCATTTATACACACACAAGCTGGCCGACACGCAGCAACACGTTTATACCCTAATCAACCCGACCGCACTTACACTGCCACTAGCTAGCTCGTACTTGTGCTACTGCTGCTGCCACCAGCCTGAGGTACCAACGACTTTGAAAGAACGTAACAGTCCGGTGGAACAATACGCTTGTAGTAGTTGTGTATTATTCCACTGATTTCAAAGCCAAACTTCTTGTAGAAGGCAATAGCTTCATCATTATTCGTCTGAACGTGCAAATAAATTTCCCAAATTCCAGGGTCTTGACGGCAAATATCCAAGCAATGTTGCAACAACTTCGAGCCTGCACACACCAATCCAACCAATCACAACAACAATACCACTCAGTAAATTCCTTCTCTCTCTCTCTCTCTCTCTCTCTCTCTCTCTCTCTCTCTCTCTCTCTC